TCTCCCACTCCTTTTGATTCAGATCTGCTTCAGTTTATGGTTCAAGATTGATCCTTGAAAATATGATTTTCTAAATGGGGAATACGATTCCCAGTTGAAGGGAGAGGTAAATTTTTGAAATTCGCCCCCTATTCCGCAATCTTTGGGCGTCCATAGGATGGATCTCTCATCCCCTTCACCCTCACACATCGGTCTATGACACCCCTATCATCTTATGAAACAATCCAATAGATCCAACAGCAAATGGATAGCCCAATTTTATGGTGCATTTTCCTCATTATTGAATGATCCATCTTCATGCTAATGATGGAAGGCCTTTAGTGAGTTCATCATATGAATCTCCCTATCATGTGCACTTATATTTTAGTGGAGGGAACGGAATATTACATCCTAATTTTATTTAGATCAAACCATAGTGGCTCCCACTGGTTTTCTCTAAGCCAGATTTAAATGGGCCCTAAACGGCTAGGGTTTCGCAAGGTTCCTCTTGGGGAGGAAGCTGATGTGGGTCCCATCAAATGGAGAGATCATCCAATGATCCTATGGACACCATGGCAATGATGTGCATTCAACCATGGTGTGCAAAAGAGCCACTATCGAAATAATCATGGGCCAAGTACTTATGGCCCATGAACGTAGCACATTACACATCCAAATTGATCCAATCAATTAAAATATCTGTAAAAACCTTAATTAATTAGATTAATTCAGTATTAGCCGAACAAAGCCCATAATGTTATCATATAACTTTATCTAGGTACATGGGTTGTACTACAAAAGCAATTAAGCCCATGTAGCTAAATCTGGGCTGATTCAGTTTTATCATATTAAAGCTAGGTTTTCACAGAGGTGGGCCGAATTAAAATTTGAAGTGGGCCATCGACCGTCTGGCCTAAATTGAATTAGGGTCAGAAAAACCAACCCCATCGAACCAACAATTCGGTCTAACCAGTTTGGACCAAATCTGGTGTAAATCGGCCCAAGTTTTGGTGTCCCATTCAAGATTTAATTCAAGAATAATGATCTGAAAAATAAATTAATTCAAGATAATTAAATTATCAAGAAACTGAAATCAGAAGGCTGCATTGTGATTTTCTTGGATATTCTTCTCCTCTGTTGCACACTTCAGTAATTTTCAGATGGAAATAAAATAGAAAAAACCTAATTTTTCTATTATTACATCACATCGAATTCCTATACAATTTGTCTAAAACAAAAAAAAAATTATAGACCAAAATTGAATAGAAAAGAAATCGTAGGGTGCACCAATCTTGGCACCAAAAAGATTCGATCTCTATCACATGTGCAACCCAAATATTCAAGAAACATTCACAGAACAATTCTATAAATATGATAGAATAATAAAGAATTATTTTCCAGATCATCTGCCCAAAATCTGGAAACCAATTTCCAGAAAAAAAATGCCAACTGCGCAAATCGGGTAGAACGTGTTTGCCCATTTGCGTAGATTCAAATCTGTTCCAATTTGGTTCATGACTTGAACCTGGCTCTGATACTAGTGAAGGGATGGGAGATCCACCATATGGATGGCCGAGCCCTGTAGGAAGGTTGGGCGAAATTTCAAAAATTTCTTTACTCCCATCTGGGAATCCTATTCCTAATTTAGAAAATTGCATTTTCAAGGTTTGTTCTTGTAACCAAACCAAACCAAATTTGAAATGAAGATTAGGGAGGGATATACCTGATTTGGAATCCACGCAAAAAGCTCCTCCCAATGTAGGTGTTCACGCCCCAAGAGTGTATCAAATCCTAACTCCACTGAAGATGATACAACTTAGGATGAAGTAGGATCAGCAGATAGTTCTTCACCCAGAACTTGTGATTCTTTAGCAAGAATCGAATGGGGTAGTGAGCACAGTTTCAAATTGTTTCTTCCAGCAATAAACAATATCAAGATCAAATCTTGATCAGATCCAAGAACTGGAGATCGAACAGGGTAGGGCGGCAAGAGCAGGAAGAAAAAGAACTAAAGGCAAGATCAGTCTAACTAACTTGTCTTCTCTCTGTGTTGTGTTTGGTGTGTCTTTTTCAGGTCCACCCTGCTCTCTATTTATAATCTTAAAGAGACAATATCTTAATCTGATTAGGAGTTTCCTTATCCAAATCTTTATTTGGATATGAACTCTTTAAGTGATAAGGATAATCCCTTATCTTATCTATAGTTAAAGATCAACTTATTCCTAATCAAATTAGGAGTTTCCTTGTCCAAATCTTTATTTGGATCTGGACTCTTTAAGTGATAAGACTTATCTTCTTATCCTTATCTGCTGATCCAAACCCAGACCGCCCCTATTTAATTAATCCAATTAACCCAATTCGAAATGGGCTTTTATGCCCATTAAGTTTACAAGTTCACTTCCTTTTAATGTTGGCTAGCTTGGTTCTCTTTGTATGGCGTGGGACCCTAACATTGATCTACACATCAGCTACATGGGTTCAACCTAGCCTTTGTTACAAGTCCTGCCTGAATTCACTGGTGAGTGAGTGAACCCCTGAGTCCATAACCATGGGCTCTTAATGGGCCCAACATTTACACTAAATCGTCTTTGGGTCCAGCCATCTTATGAAGGCCCAATGACTGTGGGCAAATGCAAGATTAGCCCATCAGGTATAACTCTCAATGGTCTTACACTTAACCTCTCTGTCCTTAATGATCAAACACTGCTCGACAAGAGATGACATTTCTCTCGGCTGCAAGGTACAGTGCTGCACTCTTTCCTCACATGGATCCCGGGAATTAAAATATTTTGCAAATAATTTGAAACCATAATAAATATATTTTGCAAAACCAAATTTCAAATATATTTGAAATCCACTGTTGATGGTTTAGGTTTTCATCAGAGAGAGTGCATTTTACCGATCATTCACTTTGTCTAAGAAATGGGCTGATCCTGTCACTATGATCACCCATTTAAATGAATTCTCAGACTGTCTCAATATACCCAGGTTTTGACCCCATCTAGGATCTCACTGATTGGCACATCACAGACAGCCAAATTCGACATCGAGTGCAGCATCATAATCGAGTCTAGGGGTCAGGTGTAACATTCTATTTTTGCCCATCTTTCTCCAAAGTCCAGGGCAATACTGAAATTTTGGTCCGGTTCAGGGTTTCAAGAAAACCCACACTGCATGTACTTCAAGTCTCACTCTAGCAGTTGGGACAATCCACCCCAACCAACTTGGCAGTACACTAGTATCAGCCTTGACAGGATAGATCTCCCCAGATCTATCCAACGGCTGTGAAGGTTCTAAAGTAACACGAGTCTTATATGTGTTCAGTTTATGGATATTACATAGAAATACACCATGATAACATGAATCAAATATGTAGTTTATTCATTTACGATAAATATTATAATATATATCATGGAGCTAAATGCATACATTGTCTATTATAGAAAGAGCATGGAGGGGAAGAACCAACGATCGCTAAGCTATTTTGAGAGAAAGCACGAAGAGAAAAGGAAAGGATCAACGGTCGTCGAGTTTGAAGGGGCATTTTCGTCTATATATAAATAGTCCGTATCGGGGGTGGAGTTGGAAATAAATAGGGGTTTATAAACCGGCATAAATGGGTATTCCGGCGAACGTACAAGCCCAGCGTAAAAACGATTTCTGTACTGGCTACATCAGTAAAAACCAAAAGAAAAAAACGGAACATTTTCCATATACGGGTCCGGGTTAACCGACGTGTAACCATATGGCTTAGTCACTGTCGCCGGAGGTGGGACAGAAAAGTTTCTCCTTTCCGAGATGCCAGCATTTCTGCCTTTCGAAAATCGGAAGCGTTTCGTATCCAAGCGAGAAGCAGAAAACTCCTGAGGCCTCTCTCTCTCTCTCTAACCAGTATTACAAAAAAGGTTCAGATTTTCCGAACTCATTCGATGCACATTGCATTTGATGTCCTGCACCTATTCTGCAGCATCGAATCTTCTTTTTTCCCCTAACGTTGCGTTTCTCCATCTTATCACATGCAGCAATAACGTAATGTCCAGAATTTATTCTTGTAAGTCGAATGATCCTTGTCGTTTATTTCTTCTATTTAAACTCTGAAACTCTGCAAAATCTCGATTTGAGTCCGAGGAAACTTGGTCTGGTTCCGTTCAAAACTTCTTGAAGATGAGCTCCCTGCATGTCTGAACAAGTCGGTTTCTCCATCGCTTGATCTTCCGCGCTTGTTCAAGCCAGAAAAGGGAACACCTTTTTCTGGGGTTGATGCTCGGGGAATCTCGCCATGTTTTCGTGTGGACGTGAAAACGACGGCTTCCTCGAAAGAGGTGTATGGAGGTAGAGAGGAGTGTGGAGTTTTGGATTTGGGGAGAGTAAGGAGGTTATGGAGGTAGAGAGGAGTGTTCTTATTGGGACGTATGCTAGAGCTCCGATTGTTTTAGCGAGTGGCAAGGGGTGTAAATTGTATGATGTTGAAGGGCGGGAGTACTTGGATATGACTTCTGGAATAGCAGTGAACGCGCTTGGTCATGGAGACCCGGATTGGGTCGAAGCAGTTAGTGAGCAGGCAGACATTCTCACTCACGTCAGTAATGTTTACTATTCGATCCCTCAGGTGAGGATTTCTTTGTGGTGTTCTTACTTATGTCTGCATCTTTATCATAAGGATTCATTTTGGAAATTTTTAACCTGGATTACCGTATTCTACATTTAAACTTCTAATTCATATTTCAGATTGCTATAATATTTATAAAGTTTTTAAACTTGGAGATAATTTATTTTTAGTTATTATTTTTGGGTCACTGAGTTTGAGTATAGCAGGGAAATGGAAGGGGACTGAACACTATGAAGGGATGAGAGATCCATCATATGGATGGCTGAATCCTGTAGGAAGGTTGGGCGAAATTTCAAAAATTTCTCTCTCTTCCATCTGTGAATCGTATTCCATGTTTTAGAAAATTGCATTTTCAATGATCAATCTTGAACCAAACTGGACTAGATTTGAAACCAAAAGGGAGGAGAGGGATATACCTGATACGGAGTAGAAGTAACTCCCAATGAAGGTGTTCACGCCCAAGGAAAAAACCAAAACCTGCTTCCACCGAAGATGACACAGTGTGAGGTGAAGCAGGACCAGCAGGACGGGTCTTCAGCAAGAACCGAATTCTTCAACAAGAATAGAGTAGAGGGCTGGTGAGCACAGCTTCAGATTGCTCATTCTACCAAAAAGCAATATTAAGAACAATTCTTGATCACTCCCGCAAGTGGAGATCGAACTGGGTAGGGGCGGCGAGAACAGGGAAGAACTCTGTAATTTGCTATGTCTTGTCCGGTATGTTTTGCATGTCCGCCCTGCTCTCTTATTTATAACCTTAAAGAAACAACTTCCTAATCTGATTAAGAGTTTCTTGATCCAAATCTTTATTTGGATCTGGACTCTTTAAGTGATAAGAATAATCCCTTATCTTATCTGTAGTTTAAGATCAGCTTAATACTAATCAAATTAGGAGTTTCCTGATCCAAATCTTTATTTGGATCTGGACTCTTTAAGTGGATAAGACTAATCCTTTTATCCTTATCTGTTGATCCAAACCCAGATCCGCCCCTATTTAATTAATCTAATTAACCTAGTTTGAAATTGGGCTTTAGGCCCATCAAGTTTATGTGCTCACTTAACCTCTTAACTTGCTGCCCAGTTGGCTCTCTTTGTATGGCGTGGGACCCAAACATTGATCTACACATCAGTCATATGAATTCAACCCAGCCTTTGTTATAAGGCCTGGCCGAATTCATTGTAGGACACAGTGAATCCCTGATTCCATTACCATGGTCTCTTAATGGGCCCAACATTTACACTAAATGGTTCTTGGGTCCAGCCACCTTATGAAAACCCAAGGACTGTAGGCAGATGCAAGATTAACCCATCAGGTATTACTCTCAATAGTCTTACACTTAACTTCTTAGTCCATAATGATCAAACACTGCCTGATAAGAGAGGACCATGGGAGAGGAGAGGAGAGGAGAGGAGAGGAGAGGAGAGGAAGTTCAAGCTGGCGGGGAAATGGAGACTGGAGTTGATCATTGAAGCCAAATCTTTCTTGTTCGAGTTGGGAAGGACAAAGGGGAAGGTTCACGTGAAAATCAGAGAAAGGAGCAGGGCAATGATTCTCCTACTGGAGGAGGCATGTGTGTGGTTGAAAGGTTTTGTAGATGGAACTATTAATTCTATACGGGAAGAAGGTTGGAGAAACTCGTTGACCTGTGAGAGTAAGAGGTTCGAAACTGTGCTAAAGAGGAATGGAAATGGGTGGTTTATAATGGTTACCGAACTCTTTGGTAATAACAAAGGCAAGTGTTGTGTATTCCGGCAGGCCAGAAGCGGAGAGGGTGGGCTTCCTTTGCTTTTAATCTTCAGGCATTTCTTCAAGAGGTCGAAGGGAGAATGGAAGAAGTCCCTGGCTTAAAGGATTGTAATCCTTCTGTCCTTTGTAATCAGGTGCCCTGCTTTAAGCAATACCCTGAAGTTTTGGTGTCTTGCTCGACTGTCCTCTGACGAGTAACTTTGGAAGAAGGGAGTGGGAGCTGGGAGAAGAGGATGGTCCTAGTGGCAGATAGGGTGATAGAAGATTGGACGAAGGTTTTAGAAGTAGTTGCAGAGAGGTTGGGCTTAGATGAAGATGTAGTGTTGTTGCCTTTTGCTGAAAAGAAAGCTTTATTAGATTCTGACGATAAGAAACTGAATTTCAGTACATTCCTTGTAGAGGGAAGTTTGATTCAGGTCCAGAACTGGGCTCCAGTTTGCAATGAAGTTGAATCTAGAGTCGGCAGCTTCTTGATCAAACTTCTCGGTCTTCCTTTCAACCTTTGGAATGATCAAATACTAAGGAAAATTGTCAGAGCGTTGGGTGGAGTTCTGTTGGAGGTTAACTTAAGAAACTTGAGAGTTGTGGAACTTAAGGTTGCTAGGGTCAAGCCGAAGTACTTGCCGTGTACCTTTGAAGTTCTCTCAGAAGATGCCTGTTACAAGGTCTGGTTAGCTTCAGAAGATGAAGCCTCGCTCTGGGGAAGACGAACAAAGGTTGAAGGAGCTGACGAATCTGCAGGTTGGTGTACACGTGGCCATTAGGGGCTGGCGGGAAAGCCTGGTGCGTGTGGGCGAACTATAGAGGAAGGGGAACAGTTGTAGGGGTGCCCCAAGTCTCGAAGCTTTCCTATTAAGGCTTCTAATTCAATGTTTTTTAAGTTGGGTTGTTTAAAGAAGGTGGCCCGTCCTATGCTGATGTGGCTAAAAGGGGTAAGGTTCGGGTGTGTTCAAAGTCATTGTCTGAACCGGCTTTAAGGAAGGCTGGGCCAGACGGGTTAGTGGGTGAGCCTTCACATGGGGCGGGGCAGGCATCGGGTGGTTTTTTTAACAGTCCACATGACAACTTAAGCCATCACGTGGGGCGGGGCAGGCATGGGGCGATGATAGATGGCAACATTCATCTATCATCGTCTAGGTCTCGCCCTCTCTACTGTGGAGGGGCTCAGATGGCGAGCAAGGCAGAAGGACGCCGCCCTTTGTGCTGGGTCCAACGGCCAGCGGGCGACGCGCAAAAACACAACGTTCTTGATCGCCCGAACCCGCACTATTTGAGAGTTAGAACAGAAGAGAAGGAAGAGGCTGACCAAGGTTGGATAAGTTGTGGCTCAGATTCTGACTATGATGAAAGATCGGAAGCCTGTGGGAGTTTAGGCAGTGTGGTAGATGAAGCTCTATCTAAAGAACAGAATAGGGATTCTTTCAGCCTGGATTGTTTGTTCATAGGGGATTCAGTGGGGGAGGGAAAGGAGGAGGGGGAGAAGCGGGTAAATGATCTTAACCCAAATTTGGCTGAGCCCTTCCCTAGTTCTAGCACTTTGCAAGAGGCCGAAAAGGAGGTAGCTCGGGTCTTCTCAAAGCTGAACAAGGGTACCTCACAGAGAGGTACATACTTGGGTACAGAAAGGGGTCTTTGTGTTGATACAACGACAATGATTTTCTTCCCCCAACTCGGGGAGACAGAGTGCTCTAATTTCTCAAAAAAGAAAGTTACTACCATTCCTTCGCCTATGCTCTCTCCACACATCTCTGCCTCAGGAGGGGGGAAGTGGGTGAGAAAACTTGCAGAGAGACAAAAATATGGGAAATCATAGAGAGCCTTTTGGGTGAAGTGGAGAGGAAGGAAATGCGGAGAGGGAGCATGGAGGGGACAGAAGGGGCTGTTGTTGGAGGTAATGTGAGAAGGAACGAGAAGTTTCCTAGGAGTGAGGAGAGTGCAACTTTAGAAAAAGAGGAAACTAGTGGGGAAGAGTCAGTTGCAGAGTGTGAAAAAGTTGGGGTGCAAGCTGAAGAACCCAAATGATCTAAAAGCCTACATGCAAAAAAAAGAAGACAACAAGATGAAGAATAGAAAGTTGAGTGAAGTGGAGAGATTAAAAAGAGATATTGAGGGGGGCAAGAAGTTTGAAGTGAAAGGGGATAGAAGAAATTGGAATGTGAGGGGGTTGGGCAGCATTAGGAAGAGAGCGACAATTAAAGAGGTAATTAAGAAGTTTAATCCGGATGTGGTAATGCTTCAGGAGTCCAAAAGAATGGGTTTTGATTGCAGATGTGCAAGGAGTGTGTGGAGTTCTAGGGGTATAAAGTGGGTGGCTGCTCCCTCGTGGGGTTCCTCAAGAGGAGTTGTGACCCTGTGGAAAGAAAATTTACTCATAGGTGTGGAGGAGCTAATTGAAGATCATTCTGTCTCCCTAAAGTTCAGACAGGTGGACGATGGGTATGAATGGGTACTAACAAATGTGTATGACCCCAATGACTATAGGTAGAGGGAGAAATTATGGGAAGAATTGAGTGACATTAGAGGCCTCTGGGATGGACCTTGGTGTGTGGGAGGGGATTTTAATGTAGTGAGATTTACAGAGGAAACCAACAACCCCAGACAGAGAGTGACAACAAGTATAAGGAAGTTCAACCAATTTGTGGACTCTTTTGAACTT